TAGTTACTGAGGAGGAAGAGATTAGCAAGGAACTAAAATTGGTTCAATCCACTCTTGAATCAAATAATTATCCTAAAGCCTTCATAAAAAGATATTTAAAATGTGAAGATAAGGATGGATCGAAACCTGTTGCTAAGAATTGGGTTAGTACAGTGGTGATTCCTTACCGCAAACAAACATCAGATGACATAAAGCGAATCCTTAACGATCATGACATAAGAGTGTATTTTCGTGCAACTAACACGTTACGCTCATCACTGATGAAGGTTAAGGATAAAATAGAAGAGAACGAACAGAATTTTTCATTTTATTTTATTTATTTTGATTGTAGCGTGATTCCACACAGTATTTTAGTACAAGTATGGAATTTTCAGCATGTGATATCGGTAGCCCCAAATTTAGCAGGCTGACCATTGATATCAGGTGTGCGGCGGCCGGGGATCGAATCCCTAACCATGTGCATGGTCGGCGAGCGTCGTAACCGCTGTGCCACCGAATTGTGTGTACCAGATCAGTTGTGGGGACTGTGACAGGTAAATAGAAGAGTGAAAGAGCATAAACAATGTCTAAAGGTGGTTCCGAAAACCTCTGTAGAATTAAAGAAGCTAGCGAACAGATAAGCAATTGCACTGCTTTCGATAGGAACGAGATGCAAAATGGACTTTGATAGGACTAAGGTTCTACAGAAAGGTCTTGGTTTGTATAAAGAAAGAGTGACTACAGACGCTTTCCACATATGGGTGAATCCCAACATTTTGAACAGACGTGAAGGTGTGATGTTAGCTGATGCATGGGAAATCCTGATTAGTAAATAAAAATGGATTTGTAGCATTAATTAATCACACTTGGTCAAAATTCCCAATTGTCTCTATATTCTTATGGAGAGGCTAATAAATGTTTTATGACTGTTTACCCAGATACACACAGACAACTGTATACTGCATATATAGATATATTTTCATATTCAGTTATCTACGACCGTGAACTTTTAGTCGAACGTTATCACTAAAATTCTGATGAAAAGTACACTCTGTTTAAGATATTAGTAAGTCTGAGGTGAAATTTTGATCATAGCTCATACAATTTTGTTTATTATACATGTTGATGTCTATTTCGTGACTCATATGATTGGACAAAGTTTCTTAAAAACAAGAGATGTGCGTCGGTGGCACAGTGGTTAGGACTCTCGCCGACCATGCACATGGTCCGAGGTTCGATCCCCTGCCGGCGCACACCCGATATCTATGGTCGGCCTGAATTTGGGCTACCGATATCCATGCTGAAAATTCCATACTTGCACTAAAAATACGGTGTGGAATCAAGCTGTAAATCAAAATAAAAATAAAAGAAATTATATTTAAACATAAACTTCAGTTATGTTAATTTCGATTAATTTCCCTGTAGAAGTTCGGACCAGTTTGCCAAAAGCATGCAACATTTGAATTACTCATTTCAATTTCGCTGAGATTTTACAAATATAATTTTTACAAATGTCTACTTCTCAGTTGGCGCCCAATTATTTTGGGAGGTTAAATCTTGATCACAGTTTATATCACTTTGAAGATACTTTGACGGTTTGCTTGGTGTTGCGATTCGATGAGGCGTTCCAGAATAGAGCTTCGGGGGTGGGAACTATTTTCTCCTTTATAAAATAATGAGGGTAAATGTTCTATGATATGTTTGGATAGCAAACGCTGGGTTTGGTCAACATACCTGTTAGTGTGGAGCTGGTATTAAATTAAATCCCTTCCACCTCCTTATTACCACTGTTGTTGTTAACTTGACTATATATTTTTGTAAGTATAAATACGATTGTACAGCCTCTGAAGATGATTTCGTCGATAAAGAAAATTTTCTTCGCTGAATCCGTCTTTTATTTTCTTTATGACTCAATGGGTATTTTCGGTAACTTGACTTTTGTTCAATTTTAATTTTAGATGAACCCTACTCAACTCCGTCAATTAGATTACGTCACTCAACATGCTCACTTGATCTTACTTTAGTTTCTAACCAATTAAGGAAATTTGTTATCTAAAATTTACAATTCTAATGAAACATCCTTGGAAATATTCATTTTGTTGCTACGAGAATTAACTATATATAAGCGTGATTGTACAGTTTGAGAATGACACCGTCGAATACGGGAGTAACTCTTTACGGAAAGTCTTTTCTTTTATTCGTGTTACATTAATGAAATACGAGTACATGAGTTTAATGGTCATCATTCATACGATTGCGAAGATTTGTAGCTTAAGTGGATGATTTTGATGTGGTTGTATTCTCTGAGCTGGAAGATTTATTTGCGAAGCTTTCATTACACCCTACTAGGCAACATTTTTAGTGCGCTTACTTCAATTTGAATTGAAGTGAGCTTTTAGATTTCTTCACGAGTTTATTAGTCATCTCTCCTGGCGAGTGACACTGAACGTGTTTGGTTGCTTTTGTGTGTTTTCACACCTTCTAAGCTACTTGTATTGTGTTGATTGTTTCCTTGACCTGAAGTTTGACATTTTGTGCATGAGGTTTGCTTCTTATATATTGGTAAATTTTGTCAGTGTCAATGTGTCTATAGATTGACGATTCCCTGGAGTACCAGACAGCCTTCTAAAAATTCTCTATCATTCTTAGTGTTTCCTCTGTCTAATATTTGAACACTAGTTGTCCCAGTCAAACTGATGTCCATGGTTGTCTGTATGCAGCGATATTAGCGGGGGAGTAGATGTCATGTCTTTTGACCGCTAGTTTTTTGATCGTGGATACGAAGACGAAGGGGAAGTCGACTTTGGCCAACGTAGTGTTTTTCGTAGTCGCTGCAACTTATTTTGTAGATGATGTTGGTTTTATCTTCTTTCGTTGTTGAGTCTTTTGGTTGACATAGAGCCAGCTGAGTGGTGAAGTGATTTCGTTGGTTTGTGAGCGACGTCAGTTCCTAAAGATTTGAAGAGTCTTGCAACGTTCAAATATTAGACAGAGGAAACACCAAGAATGCTATAGAAGTATTTTAGAAGCCCGCCTGGTATTCCAGTGAATCGTCAATCAATAGATACACTGACATCGACAAAATTACCAACCGATAAGAAGGAAATCTCACACACTAAAGGTCAAAGTCAAGGAAACAATCAGTTATGAGTTTAAAAAAAGTAAGCACACAAACATCAGGTCAGTAGAAGTCAACACGGCTGTTACCATGATAGTAGAAGTGGTTGAATAATTTTCTTTTGTATGCATAACTCTGACCCCTCCAACTGAATGGCTAAGGCTTCAGCAATACAAAGGAGACGAAAGCGTGTTGCCTTTGGTAGGTTGTTCTTCACTTTGTAGACCACTTCGAAGGAGCCGTTTGTTGAGATGGAATGGTTAGTAATGACGAGATGTTCGATTATCGCACTCCTTATACAGCCACTATTACCTTTGTGTAGCCATGCGGGATAATGTTCTTGAACCCTTTTGCACAGGATACGCGTCGAACATCAACAGGTGAACTGATATATGCACAAAGAAGTGGCCAGATGCGGGATTTTATCCTTACGGCTTCTGCAGATCAATGGACAACTGGAGAACACTACTCTTAGCGTTGCTGCGAAGAATGTTCTTTTTTCAAAGATGCTGAAATTCTTCTCCTGAGGATATCGCAAGCTAAGTCTCCCTTGAAATCCAGATTCATGTAAAGTATCTTTTTTGAAACAAGTGATGTTTCGTTCCTCTGGACCTTTGGTTTGATAATCTTGTCAAAGAATCTTCGTGGGGATCCATTTTGGATGAAGGTTATATTTTGATAAAGTCTCATATCAACTTGATATGATAATGAGCAGTAATAAATTGTGCTGGAAACGTGGTCATCAGTAAATTTTACTGTATAACAACACTTTGTGAGACTTTATCAAAATAAATTTTCTCCATAATGGAATTATACTTGACCATAGTAACCAAGTTCCATTCTTAAAATCTTCATTAGTTAGGCATAAAATGGATCTACAGACAAAGATTGGAGGATCGGGTTTCACCCGTGATGAAATATGTCTAATTTCCTGCAAACTGGGAGATGTGCGTGTGAAGAGGAACAAGTTGGCAGAGGAGGCATCAAACATAGGACTTCAGGTGAATATAGAGAAAACAGAGGTGATGAAGATTCCTGGCCAACAGCAACAACAGACAACAATCAGCATAAACGGGAGGAATCTGAAAGAAGCAACTTCCTCTAACCACTTGTAAAGCATCGTCGTTTCAACTACAGGCGGACGGAACTGACGACGATATCAAAGCGAGGATCGGGAAAGCAAGATAAGCTCTCCTTACTCTCAAGTCTGTGTGGAGATCAACAGCAGTCCTCAGCATGAAAAATGAGGTCCGAGTTTTCAGCTCCAGTGTGAAGTCAGTGCTACTCTATACGAATCAGAGACTTGGCGCCGTGTCGTGAAGGTTACTTCGAACAACAGCTGTCTTCGCTCAATACTACTCAAGATCAAATGGCCAGCCAGAAAAGAATAGCAGTAGGGAGGGATCTCTGGGAACGAAGCGACCCAGCAGGAACCAATTGTGCAACAAATATGCAGCAAGAAATGGAGGTGGATTGGTCACACTCTGAGAAAACAAACCATCAAGTGAGTAACATCACACGCCAGGCCATCGCTCGAGTGTAACCCAGATGGGAAGCGGCGAGTTAGTCGTCAGTGCCAGGGTGGGGTGACATGGAAGAGGAGATGCAGGCATGTGGGCAGATGTGGATAGAGGTTAAAATGTCGGAGGAGAACCGAACGCAATGAAGACGTACGGCTGAGGCCCTATGTTCTTGTAGGAACTAAAGGGAGCAATAATAATTATAATAATATACCGACTGCAGCCAATAGTATCCCTAACAAACAACGAACGCCAAGCAGCAGGTTAACCAGACACACAACACTATCAAGATGGATGCATGTTAAAGAAAGACGGCAAATCGACAGAAAAGTACAACAAACACACACACACACACAAAACAAAAAACTATAAACTAATTAATTCTATACAAAATTTAATAAAGCTTCAACCAGTATATCAAATATTGGTGCAAATAATTCTAATCCTAAATAAACAAAATTTTTTAGCATCAGTTTAGGCAATTCACGTTTCATTTCACCGTCATTTGCTGCTTCATTACCATCACCATCACCATCACCATCACCATCACCATCATCATGATGATGTTGACGATGTGCAGATGATGACAACTTTTCATAATCAAATTGATCGTGATCATAATCATGATTGAAATGATTCAACTTCATTGTGAATTCTTCATACGACAGTGTATTGATATTTGCAGCCATTTGACTTTCATGATATGAAATAAATGCAGATTTCACGTTATATATCTAAATTTTAAAAAAAAGAAAATTCAGGATTATCTAAAACATATACCACTATTGTAACCACAGATGACAAGGGCCAGACAACAGATCATTTATTTAGGAAATCAACACATATTTATATATTTTCATGTACATTATTATAGATTATTATGAGCAAACAAACATAGTCTTCTGATTGGTGGTTTCTCACTGAACGTTAATCTTTCATCTCTCTCTAGCCGTTTATTGAAGGTCAGATTATCTGTCTATCTGCGAATTGTATCCGCCTACGCAAAGTCCGCTGTGACTGGTTGTGTTGAATCAGTCTTTGTTCTTATTTTTCTTACGACCAATATTGGGGACTTAAACATTGACGTAAATTACCAATTTGGGTAGCCAGCTCTCACCACACTACTACTGATACCGGTATGAGTAGTCAGATACCACCGAGTGCTGCCTACCAGGAAGATGAAGACAATCTAAAGACCAGATGGTTGATTTTCTCGTTTATGATGCAACTAAGCAATGTTTCATAAGGATGAACACCACCACCACCCTGCCCCCGCCTCCTGAGGGTGTAAAATCAATTCAAACTAATCGAATTCTAACTTAACCAGTTTGTGAGAACTAGTAAGGCGTACAATAAAATCCATTATTTGGGGATTCAAATGTTCGAGGTGGAAACTTAAATTATTCATGCCTGTTAGCTGGCAGTCGTCAGAAAGGTGTATCTGAAACCTTGAAGGAATTGATATTCCCTTAGAGATTCAAATCTGTGTGATGCAGTGATGTAATTAGCAGAGGAGTATTAGAACCTGGAATCCAGTCGCTGTAATTTGAATGTTTAAGCCAATAAACCACAGTTACATGAAAATTATTAGTTGAGAAAAGACACTTGCACTTTATTTATTTAATATTATTATCCCCTTGCGTTTCGAGTGGAACATAGGGCTGGCTTCAACAACATATCTCCACTTTGTTCTGTTTTCTGCCGTCCTCTTCAGATGGGTCCACGATTGACCAAACTCTGTCATCTCTTCCTCACACGATCTCCTCCATGTCACCTTAGTACTGACGACCCACTCGTCACTTCCCATTTGGATTCCACTCGAGCTATGGCCTGGCATGCCATGTTGTTCGGCGGCCTCTTCAATGTATGCCCGATGCATCTCCACTTTCTCCTGCATATTTGTTGAGCGATCGGCACCTGGTTGGTTTGCTCCCATAGTTTCTTGTTGCTTGTTCTTTCTGGCCATTTGATCTTCAGTATGGAGCCAGTGAAGCAGGCAGCTGTTGATGAAACTCTGCAACCTGTTGGAAATGCTTTTCGTGACACGCTGGTCAAGTTTCTGACCCGTATAGAAGAACCGATTTCACATTGGTGTAGAAAATACGAATCATGTTTCTTATGCTAACTGCGGAAGATTTCCAAACTGGTTTCAGTTTGATAAAGGTGTATCTTGCCTTTCCGATTCTGACTGGCTTTGACATCTTCGTCCGTTCCGCCTGTAGTTGAAACGGTGCTTCCTGGCCGGATAAGTGAAGGAAGTAACCTCTGTTAAATCTCTCCCGTTGATGGTGATTGGTGCTGGTTGTTGTGGCTGTTGGTGCGTGAGTGTCTTCATCACCTCCGTCTTCTCTGTGTTCACCTGCAGTCCTGTCTTTTCTGCCAGTTTGTTGGTTTTCTGCCTGCAAGTCTTCGAGTTTATGTGACATTAGACATATATCATCCACATGCGAGATCCAGATCTTCTAGAGTCTTCTTATCGGTGCTCCAGCGTATTCCTGACTCCTCGCCCCCAACAGTCTGATGCATAATCCAGTCCACCACAATTAAGAATATCATTGTAGGTGATAATAGGCAGCCAGCCTTGTCTTACTCCTGTATGCAATTCGAACACCTCTCTGAGATTTCCATTGTGAATTACTTGACACGTGGCATTGTCATATAACCAGCTGTTGAATGAGGTTGACAAAGACTTGAGCACTGCACGCTGTAGTGTTGAAGTAGTTTCCAAATTACTTCTCGGTCTACGCTGTCGAAGGCCTTTTCGAAGTCGATGAAGTTGAGGTACAGGTTTGACTGCCATTCTATGCTTTGTTCGATGACGCTTAGAAACGTGAAATCCCTGTCATGCTCTAATAATAACAGAGTTTTGTTAAATGGACAGATATAACTTGTTGACTAAGGGTATGAACACGTACGTGATTACCAGTGGTTAAGTCGAATGAATGAATGATTCCACGAAGATAAGTAATTTGGAGAAAAACTCAGCAATTGCACTGCATGCATCAACACACAACCATACAATAGGGTGGGACAGAGTCAAAATTCTAAAAAGTAATATAAGTAGATGGAGAGACAGAGACTGATTACTGAATCCTGGTTCATCGAATCTACACCTAACACATGCAACAGAAATGACTCAAAGCAAATACCAGAGATATTGAAGATATTATTACCACCAGTCAGTCAAATCAGAAGAGGATAATGAATAATCTTAAAATTCTATTTTAATTCAAGCACATTAAAACATTCTAACAAGTTACTTATTTATTATGACTATAAAAACATCTCTTATTTCCCATCTGATTGTATTTAATTGATAACACTAATATTATTTCTGAATGTACTTTATCTTAAATTGATTTTATTCTAATGTCTAGTCAATTTTTTACTCATGTATATAAATGAAGCAAAAAAGGTGTGAGTACCTTGATATGATTATGAGTGGCAATAAATTGTGCTCGAAATGTGGTCATCAGTAAGTATTACTGTATAACAACACTGTGTGATTTTATCAAAATAAATATTTTATCCATAATGGACTTATACTCCACCACAATACCCAAGTTTTATCCTTAAATCGATTTCGAACCATATCACAAATAGTCTCCAGCCATGTGTTCTTAGTATTCTGAGGACCCCAACCAGACAACAGTCTACACCTCCTTACTGGGCTAGCTCAAACTAACTGTCGAAGATTTCATGGACTAATTCCAAGTTTTCGTATAACCACCGCTAGATAACTCTTCTCCAACCTCATTGATCCTATGTCAACTGAAACTGACCATTGAGGAAGCCGATCGATGACTAGGAATGCGTAACACATGTCCCAAACATCTCAATCGATGCACCTTCATAACCCTTTGACTGATTCTCCCTCCTTACCTAGCACTCGATCGACACCTAACCTCATGATTACTCATCCTATTACACCTATCACCTAACACGGAAGACAGAATGCAGACAGGTATGATCAAAGACAGCTAGCTTTTTTCATCTCTTCCACTTTCGATGACCATGTCTCATAGTTATAAAGGAGGGGAGACTGAACTGCTGAGCAGTACATATGTCCTTTGATCAATAAAAGGATATCATGTCTACTACTAAACCAGAGATGGAGTAAGTTGGCAAATGCCACACGAGACCTTTGTATCCTTGGCTGAGATTTCGTCAGCGATCAACCCGTTGGCACTGGCTGATGCAACTCCCCAAATAAGTGAAGTGATCAACACACCCCGTCTACCACTTAATTCCCAATCTTTAAACAAGGAGTCAGTGCATTTCAGTCGTGTAGCATCATCTTACGTTTGACAGGAGCAAAATCGCAATCCAGACATTCGAAGATTGCTACTCAGCTCAAGGCGTTCAGACGATGCACTTTATCAGCCCCTTCACCTAGCAGGACTATATCATCATCTGCATATTGTAAGTCAACCCTTAAGTCACTGAAGCCAACCTCCATATCATCCTCAGAGCCACACCAAACTCGGCGTTTCCCATTCATGTTAAATCTGAACTTTCATAAATTTATTGAATACAAAATAAACTAAAAGACAGAACATAACTCACTTGTATATTAAATGTACATTGTTCTAAACTATTCAAATTAGCACAAGCTACTACTAACATTATTGGAGGTATTTCAGTAGTATGATGATTTTTTGTAGCAATATTAGTAGTAGCATCATTCATTTCATTGAGTTTTTGTACATTGAAAGTAAATTCATCTGGTATATACACCTCTTCAATGCCGATACTTGTTGACTGTTTAATTACAGGCATATTGATCAGACTACTCAAAGTATCCATTTGAGTAGTATGAATAAGACCTTGTTGATTTATTGTTAAATTATTCTGAAAAAAAATTAATTTGAAGGAAAAAGAGAAGAAAACAATGAATAACTGATATTTATATCTCCTAGTTTGAGACTCTTCAGCAGTGCACACCCACCGATTGGGGTTCGAACCAAGGACCTTCTGGTTACAAGACCAGTGAGGTGGTAGACCATTAAGCCACTGGGACTCGATCCAATGGCCGGTGCATGAATTCTAACTTCTGCCAATAATCCACGACATAGCGCGACCGCGAGTATTTGTCCTCACACCCAACCTGCTTCACCTTACTGGTCACGACTTCTCACTAGAACCCTGTAAAAGTAATCACCACTGCTACAGAAACTTCAAGCCTCTAGCTTGAAGCCCATTTCCCACTGAGATCGTAAGGGAATAAAAAAGGCTGTAAGCAGATGATGAGGACTCAACGAAGCAAACAATCATGATACTATTTTATTCTGCACAAATCACTGTTATTCCTGCCTTAATCGAATTCATAGGGAGGGATAAAGGTATAAAGTTAAACTTATTGACAGCGGACGTTTCGTTATCAAACATCATAACATTTTCAATGTCAGTTTTATATTAAGAAGATATCACTAAGTCTGTGCGTCGGCAGTGCAGCGGTAGGACGCTGGCCGAACATGCACGTGGTCCTGTGTTCAAGTCCCGGCCGGTGCATACCTTAAACTCCTTTAGCCAGTTACAACCCAAACAAGGAGAGAAGGTTAGGCGTGAAACTAGCAACTCCGCCCCGTAAGAAAACACCACTGCTACTGAAACTTCGAAGCTAAAGCTTCAAGCCCTATGTTCCACTGGAAAAGGAAAGGAATAAAAAAGTCTTCAAAAGAATGGTTACTGAATGAAGAGTACTATTTTCGGTAACCTGGTCTTCATCAGGCTGTGCAGTTATATATACCTAATAATAGTGAATGAATGAATTGGTGTTATGAACAACATTAATGTTGTTTAAATAAAATCGATTCAATAGTAATATGAATGGATTACTGTCCAATAGTATCAACATAACAATAAGCTGAATGTCAGAAAAATTAGGAGAGATAATATTACAAAGTCATGAATTTATAGTCTTCGCTAAAGGCCGGCCAGGGAAGTAGTAGTGGCTGGCTGGACTTGCCTCTTTTGCACACAGAGCACTGGTTGTTTGAAGCGAATTGCAATAGCCTCTGCTGTTTGGAGCATGCGTTACTTGGATGTTTTTGGCAATTTATTAGGCATCCGGTAGATGATAGAGAAGGATTCTTCAATGCTGGCTGCCTTTGTGGCAGGTTTGCACCACATGGTCCAATATCGAAATGTTAATGGATTTCACTACACCTTCACTTATCCATATTGGGAGATGTTCCTGAGTGAGCACGGAAAATCAAGTTCGTACAGCAACGGCCGATATAACCCGTTCCACCACAAGCGCAGCTGATGTGCTAGATACAATTTGAAGTGGCTAGTTTAGTCTAGGTACTTCATCTTTCAGCCGAGGAATCACCATCGGTCGTGTAGACAATAAGACGTGTAGTTCGCCAGCATTCAAAGTTCTTTCAACTGATTTTCTTAATTTCTTCGTAATTATTTCACTTGGTATATTGCCCTTGAATTGCAGTCGCATATAAAGTGGTTTGTATCTACCAATTCAACTGCGCTTGTGGTGGAGCGAGTTGTATTGGCCGTTGCCCTCTAGGAACTCGATTTTTCGTGCTCACTCAGGAACATCTCCCACTATGGCTAAGTAAAGGTATAGTGAAATCCATCATCAAAAGTTCGATATTGGACCATCTGGTGCAAACCGGACAGAAAGCCAGCCAGCGTTGAAGAATCCTTCTCTATCATCTAACGGGTGACTAATAAATTGCCATAAACACCAAAGCACCGCATGCTCTAAACAGCAGAGGCTATCACGATTCGCCTGAAACACCCAGTGCTTTGTGTGCAAAAGAAGCAAGTCCAGCCAGCCACTACTACTGCCCTGGCCGGCCTTTAGCGGAGACTATAAATTCATGAATTTGTAATATTATCTTTCCTAATTTTTCTGACATTCAGCTTATTGTTATGTTGATGCTATTGAGTTGTAGTCTGTCAATATTATTGATTCGATGTTATTTAAACAACATTAATGTTGTTAATAACACTAATTCATTCACTATTATTATTATGTATATATATCTGTAGAACGTGATGATGAAGTTATCGAAGAGAATATTCTTTGTTAAGTATCCATTCTTTTGAAAATTTTAGTGGGCATTTTTAATCAGTTAAAAAGAAAATTACTAAGTCTACTGATGAACCTTCTATAATCCCATATTACAAAGTCTGATGAACACTAATCTTGTCAAATAATATACAAAATAGTAATAATAATAATAATATTTGTAGTATCACAAGTTATCATGCTTTTACCTTTATAATCCATTGTTGAACATGATCCGATTGTAGGACAAATAAATCTGGATCACCATTCAACGGTGTGACACGTATCAATAACTGACGATGATGATGATGATGGTCATAATCGCTTCGATTTAATTCAATCACATACATGAAATCTGTACTCAAAGCTCTATAAAAACCCGAAGAAAAAAACATTAAATGAAGATATGGATTAGAGTAGTTAATGCATAATTTAAATATCCTCATGATATCTGAAAGCTTCACTGATAGAATTCAGTCTGTACCGAAGACAGAACTAGACACACACATGTTACACTAGTTACTGACTAGTGTTCAGTCAAAAATATCCAATACAGTCAGTCCTACAGGAGGTCAAACGCGAGTCTGAATAGCTAGCTCAAGAGTAACGTCTCTGACTGCAGAACTGCACTGGGTGACGCAGGTTCAAATCTCAAAAGCAACATGAGTTCCTTCAAGGTTGCAGATACGCCTTGCTAACTGACTGGTGAGTGCCAACTAGCACGAAACCTAGGTCAGTCAAGCAAGGCTTCTTGTGACCGATTGCCTCCAACCATCTTATTAATATCATCAAATCAATGTACACCGTGATGGCGAACTACCTCGAATGGTGACCACATTGCAAACCTGACTGACTGATAGAATTCAGTCTGCACCGAAGACAGGACTAGACACACACACATGACACTAGTTACTGACTAGGGTTCAATCAAAAATACCTAATGATATCTATCTCCCTTCAAAATCTCTTCTCTGACTAACTGACTGACTGGCTGACTGTGTTTTCAACGTAGAACTTAGCACTACAAACTGCAGTATTACAAGTTGCCACAACTTCATATAGCCACATAAAAGCAATAGAAAATGAAAATTCAAGTGAACGAAAATTCTATGCAAGGAAGAATAATTACAGTGAGATACCAAGAGGAGTTATTAGATAAGGGAAATTACAAAGACTGAATACGAAAAAGAGAAGAAGTTCAGAGAAGAGTCTCTTTTCGTCGACGAATTCATTCACACAGCTGTACAATCGCATTTATATACAATAATTTGTGTGTGTGTACATGAGGTTTGTCAAGCTTAGACAATTAATTAGGTAATACAAGAATAATCTAATATAGAAACAAGGTTAATTAGATAGCAACTAAAGTAAGATTGAGTTAGTAGGTTAGATGACGTAATATAATTGACTAAAATGTTTCAACTTAGATAGGACACTAGTAACTAGTGTGATGTGTCTAGTCCTTTCTTTGGTGCAGACTGAATTTTATCAGTCAGTCAGGTTTGCAATGTGGCCACCACCATTCTAGGTGGCTCGCCATCACGGTGCACACTGATTTGATGATATCAATTAGATGGTTGGAGGCAAACGGCCACAGGAAGCCTTGCTTGACCTAGATTTCGTGCTAGTTGGCACTTGTCAGCAAGATGTATCTGCAACCTTGAAGGAACAACTCATGTCCCTTCTGAGAATCGAACTCGCGTCATCCAATGGTGCAGTCAGAGATGTTACCACTGAGCTATCCAATACAGTCCTACAGGAGGTCAATCGAGAGCCTGAATAGCTAGTGGTAACGTCTCTGACTGCAGCATTGGGTGACGCGAGTTCGATTCTCCGAAGGGACATGAGTTCAACTGGATTTCTCGGTGGTTGCATGCGATGCGACATACATCGGACAAGCATCACGAGAAATCAAAATCAGAAGAAATGAATACCGTAGAGCATCTGTGCTCGACCACCGAGAAATTCAGTTAGTGAACTAGAAAAGCTTGAAACGTCATCAGCCATAGGTCATCTACACGCTACGCTATAGAATCAGGACACAAAATTGATTTTGACAATATTGAAATCGTCATCTAGAAAAATTTCAGAAATCATAAAGAATGTCTAATATCATCAGAAGCACTTCATATCATCAAATGGAATCCGAATTCTCTGAATAGGAATGATGGACTAAAACAGAATTTGACCTGGATAGAGACGTTACCACTGAGCTATTCGGGCTCGCGATTGACCTCCTGTAGGACTGTAGTGGGTATTTCGATTGAACACTAGGAATTAGTGTGACGTGTCTAGTCCTTTCTTTGGTGCAGACTGAATTCTATCAGTCAGGTTTGCAATGTGGCTACCATGCCACTAGGTGGCTCGCCATCACGGTGCACATTGATTTGATGATACTAGATAGTTGGAGGCAGTCGGCAGGAAGCCTTGCTTGACCTAGATTTCGTGCTAGTTGCCAAGCTACCTAGAATGGTGGCCACATTGCAAACCTGACTGACTGATAGAATTCAGTCTGCACCAAACAAAGGACTCGACACAGCACACTAGTTACTAGTGTCTAATGAAAATACTGAATGTTTCATCTTTAAAAATAAATAATATTTTACAAGTTAAATATTATTTATAATATTGCATAATCAGAAGAAAAATAACCTACCTTTCTAATTCTTCATATATTAAAGGACCCATAGGATAATCCCCTTTTCGATGTAGTAAAATATCCCATGAATGATTTATAATGCACACAGTAAAGATACTGGTAAGTAAGGATAGTACAGTGAACAAACTCTAAAATATTGATTATTTTTAATACAAGTTTATTAAAAACTTACCAAGGGTAAATATCGTAGTCGTATAGTCTCCATCGAAGAGAAAATAGATATGGAAGCTTTGGAAACAGAAATAACAAGAAACAAGAAGAAAGAATACTCAAATGTGAACAGATATTCAAATTTGTTATTATATCATACTGTAACGACAGAAGACAAGGGTCAGGCAACAGATCGTTTACTGAGAAAATCAAGAAATATTTAATAGAATTTTATGTACATTATTACTAGCCTTATTGTTAGCAGAGAAACAACGTCTTCTGATTGGTTGTTTTCTTCCTCAAGGTTATTCTGTACCATTTCTTAGAAAGTTAAGCCATACAATCTGCGAATCGTATCTGTGCATGTTAAGTCTGCTGTGATTGGTTGGTGAGTTTCTCAAGGTTAAGCTTTATTATTGTTGTTGTTTTTCTCATGACCACCCCGATTCGGGAGGTAAACATTGACGTAAAATGTTGTCTACAATTTTGGCTTGCAGACAACTCCCACCGCAATACTACTTTAACATACTTCCCCTTTATCAATATCAATAAAGCAAAAAAATAATAAAAAAAATAATCGTTCTTACAGACAACAACAAGTACCAATCACTGTTTTTGATGTGGTTGTGTTCTCTGAGCTGGATTGTTAATTTGCGAAGCTTTCATCGCCCTACTAGGCGACATCTTCAGCGCATACTTCAATTTAATGAAGTGAGCTTTTAGATTTCTCCACGAGTTTATTAATCATCTCTCCCAGTGATCAAAAAGCTCACTTCATTAAATTGAAGTATGAGCTGAAGATGTCACCTAGTAGGGCGATGAAAGCTTCGGAAATTAACTATCCAGCTCAGAGAACACAACCACATCAAAATCATCCACCTGAGCTACAAATCTTCTCTATCATACCAATCACTGTTAACGGGAGAAATTTGACAGAGGTTACTTCCTTCACTTATCTAAAGGAGTATTGTTTCAACTACAGACGACAGCATGGATGAAGGCTTCAAAAACTAAAATCGGAAAAGGAAGGAAGTGAGTTTGGAAATCTGCCGCCCTCAACATCAAGAACAAAATTTGGATTTTCAACACAAATATCAAGTCGATCAGTAAGTTTTTTCATAAGGGTCCGAAGCCAGCGGTGCGCTTCACGGAAAGCGTTTCTAACAGACTGTTGAAGACATTTATCAACAGCTTCACAAATCGCTGACTCCATACGGAAGATCAGATGGCCAGCTGGCGAGAAAGAATTAGCAACAACAAACTCTAGGAACAAACCAACCAACACCCCTTTGCTCAACAAATATCCCGAAGAAAATGAAGATGGATAGGAGGATACACACCGAAGAGACCATTGAATGACATCGCAAGCCAGGCTTTTGCTCGACTGGAACCCCAGTGGAGAGAGACAAGTTGGGCGAGAGTCCGAGCATGACATGGAAGAGGAGATGAGAGACTATGGCCAATCGTTGGCGGAGGTGAAGAAGAGTACAGAAAACAGGACAGAGTGGAGGTGTGCTGTTGAAGCCCTATGTTCCACTCGGAACCCATGAGAACAATAATAATAATCAGGGTTTGTAAAGAATAAGATGGTACCATTGTTTATTTCGTCAGTTCCTCATCATTTGCGTGCAGCCTAAAGAACTTTATGCACAGAACAATTTTAAAATACTTGCAAATGACACATTATGTCAGTTGAAAGGAAACTCCAAAGTTCTTTATAAACAGTGCTCAGAAAACTGCACTTATATACCTTATACACAGGAGGTTCAAGATCAGACAAAGAAATAACCGCTTGACAACAAATAGCAAAAGAGCTACGTTATCAAGACAAGAGGTGAATAAGATTATGGAGTAACTAATAGGTTGAGTGATAGAGTGGTGAGTTCAACTCAAATCATAGCTTTCCAGCCATTTAGCTCGTCTGAGGGTGAAGCTCACCATTGGTGTATGCCTGTTAGACTCAGATAACGCTCATTGGTTTAGGCGCTAGACTCTCAACCATTGGGTAACGCATTCGAATCCCAATCTATCTACTGAGGTTTAGGCAACTAGGTAGTATTGTGGTGAGAGCTGGCTGCTAGCCAAAATTGGTAGACAGTAATTTACGTCAATGTTTACGTCCACCCCCGCAAAAAAAAATAAGAACGAAGACTGACTCAACAACCAATCACAGTAGACTTTGCGTAGGCGGATACAATTTACAGATAGATAATCTGGACTTCAAGAAACGGCCACAAAGAGATGAAGGACTAACGTTCAGTGAGAAATCACCAATCAGAAGACTGTGTTTGTTTGTTTAAATAATCTATAATAATGTACATGAAAATATATAAATATGCTTTGATTTCCTAAATAAGGGATTTGTTGTCTGGCCCTTGTCTTCTATTGTTACAGTATCACTAGCTCTCGCACAATATATGTAGTTTATTGCTAGATGTATAGAAATACAAGCATGGTATGTGCCTTGCGCTAGCTAAGTGTAAAGTATTTGTTGAAAGATTGTTGAGAGCATGTACCTCAAGTCATCCTCGCAGGTTAACCGTGTGAAGTTGTCGACAAGTTCGTGTATCTAGACAGTTGTGTGAGTGGTGGACTTGTGATGCACAAGACCTCCAACCGTATATTGGGAACCAAAGTGGCACACGCCAATTTCAACCACTTCTAGCATCGTCGTGATATCAGCCAGGCTGTCAACAGTCGGATTCACAATGCTTCGGTGCTCACAGTCTTGTACTACACCCATGAAACTTGTCCTCTCAGAGTGGAGGATATCTGGCGACTCTACGTATTTGACTATCGCTGTCTCCTTAGAATTATTTGCGTTCGAACGCATTATCGTGTGTCTGGATACGGTGGAGGTCACAACTCACTGAGCTTCCTCATCTGAAAACACCGACTTCAGTGGTTTGAACATATGCCATGTACGTCATCCTAGAGACTTAGAAGCCGGTCTCTGTTCAGTAGTCTTGGGACTGTATGGGGGAAGCGGAGAGGTGATAAGTCTATGTGGTGGTGACGTGGGATGCAGGAAATTTGTCCTAGGTACATCACGACTCCCTGGATGGATTTGAGAGGCAGTTCATATGGATGACCCGAAACGTCATGAGATATTGCCAAAAATCGTAATCATTCGTGAACATGTTGCAACATGAAGTGATGGATGTTGGATGATGATTTTGATAAGACAAATCTCCTTCATCCCACGTCACCACCACACAGACTTATCACCTATCCGCCTTTCCCATCTAATCCCAGGACTAGTGAACAGAGACTGGTTCAGAAGTCTCTAGGATGACGTACATAGCACATGTTCCAACCACTGAAGCCGGTGTTTTAAGATAACGAAGCTAAATAAGTTGTGACCTCCATCATGTTCAGACACACGATAATGCTTGCTTGCTTACTTTCTGGATAACGCCCCTCAATCATTCTATATCCTTATTTTCTTCAAATATTGTTGTCTGACATATCTCCTGATGTCCACAATGCACAAAGTAAGTGTTTTAAATACAATAAAATAAGAAATGCAAATGGTTGCTCAGTAATCTAACCTAATATACTGAATTACTGTGTCTCTGTCCTCAACACAGAACTTTGCACCGATGTGCAACAGTTCAAGTTGCCACACTCCCCCCCCCTTGTAGCACACAAAGTCAGAGAAGAAGAAAGTAAAAAGAAATGCAAAATAAAGACAGTAAAAAGAGATATGAGGCAAAAAGAATAGTAATAAAGACGAACAATATAGTTTCATTGGAAATTATAAGTCACAAGGAGTGGATGCATCTGCACCAACAGTTGAGAACGATTTTCAGCCATATCATCAATCAGTCCTATATACGATTTTCCTGTATTGCTCGTTTTCTTGACTGTTATTCATAAAAGGTATCAGACAGATCACCTATTATGATCTGAATATATATATTTTTTAATTTCCAAAGTAAAATCAAGATAAATTTCCACCTTGAATTGGGTAATATGTGAGTGCCGTAAGGAACACTTTTAATCACTTTTCGCTATCTCAAATTTTCGTTGTAAGATGTGAGCCAAGACGCCTATATTCTACTCTAAATGACTGAAACCAAAGAAGAATTGTCTGTACATTTATATGCTCAGTAATGTAGATATCGTATTGATCCGGAATGAACCAAAAAGAATCATTAAAAAGTTCTCAGATAACAGATAAACTTTGAGATCAGTCTATTCGATATAAAATACAGTGATACAATATTATTATTACTATTTTTACGAGTTGATCACAGATTGATATCAGTTAGAGAACCATTGAAAACCAACCACAGGTAGTACTGGACAGCTGTTTCCGTTGTCCTAGTGATTGGGAATCATCGACAGTAGGCACCCACCGTCAGGGTTCGAACCCAGAACCTTCTATTTACAAGGCAAGCTCATATACCATACTAACTTCTAGTGACTTGCTACAGTGCGGAGTTTCATGGACTTCCAGTGAGAAGTCGTGACCAGTGAGGATGGATGTCCCACCGACTACATTGATTGGGGTTGCGCTAAATCACGAATTGGTAGAAGTTAGAATTCATGGGCTGGCGGCCATTGAATCGGGTCCTAGTGGCTGAATAGTGTACGAACTAGCTTGCCTTGTAACCTGAAGGTCCTGGGTTCGAACCCCGCGTGTGGTGAGTGCATACTTCCGATGATTTCCAAACTAGGACAACGAGAACAGCTGGTTTTCAATGGTTCTCTAGCTGATATCAATCCGTAATCAACTCGTAAAACCAAAACTAATCCTTACAAACCAACTATAGAAAATATAATTATTATTATTAACTGGATTACGTTTTGAGCACTATTTATCGCTGCCCATAATCGCATCAGTTTTTGATTGGACACTGTGTAGCAACTAATTAGCATGCGTCGAGTCCTTGGTGTGATAGTGCAGACTGAATTCTATCGTCAGTTAAGTTTACAATGCGGCTCACTATTACAGTACACTCTGAAATGTTGTTATTTGAAGGTTGGAGGTAATCGGCCACAGAAAGCCTTGCTTCACCTATATTTCATGCTACTTGACACTCATCAGTC